TTTTTTTTTCTTCTTTTTTGTGCAAACAAGACAGACATTACAGGATTACCAATTTATAAATGGACAGCCTTCTGACAGCTACATGGCATAATTATTCTAGTTTTATAGCTATTCAAAAGTGTATGCCATTGTGACTCATACACTTTTGTCGTTTGGTCTTATGCTTCCTGTTTTTCTATTTCTTTTCCCTGTCTCTCCCTTCCTGTCACATCCTAGCCAGCATAATCACTCATCATCACGTCCACCTGCCGCTCATTACCTCCCGATTCAACTCCCCATATACAGTATACGCCCTTTTCCGTTAGTTCCCCCACTGTTTTGTTAGTCTACTTACCCATGCTCCTGTTCTTGTTGTCGACGCTCACCTGCTTCCCAACATGCTCCCCGCTCCAGCTCTCCATCCCGCCACTCAGCACTCCAGCTCACCGTTCCCTGACTCTACACTCCCTCAGTACCCTCGCTCACCTCCTGTCAGCTCCATGCGGGCCGCCTGTTTCATCAACAGCGCCACACTACTGGCCTGCCCCGCGTCCCGTCAGCTCAATGCTGTCTGCCTGCTTCGTGGGCAGTTAGTTTACTTGGTGAGTCCTGTCATCTCCAGCCTTCTGGCTCCACTGAGGGTTCTACTTCTCTGGCTACTGGCCTCCACATTACCTATCTCCACTGTGTACCCACTTTTACTGGCAGCCAGCCTGGAATCATTCAGCCTGCCTTACCTACCCAGTCAGTATCTGCTCCACCTCCCCTGCAACTAGTAAATATTTATATAAATTTTCCTTTACATCCCATTCCATGTGTGTGTGTTGGTACACTGAGTCCAGCTAATATGAACCCTAACATACACACTGTAGCAATTAGTCTGAGTCTGATAAATCATGCCACAGTCCTTTCTTTCCCTTCATATGGACATGACCCAGCATGGTCTGAGCATGAAATGACTGAACACAACACTGACTGCTCTAACTTCCCCTGGATTTTGTCTTTTTTTTTTATAAACACTGATATTGGAATGCTGTATTTTAAATACAATAGAGTTTTAAAAAAAAATTAACTCTAGAGTTTTAACCTTGACATGCACATTGATGCAAATTTCTTATAATTGGCATGCAAACATGACTGCTTTGAAATTTTTTGTGGCACACTTGAAGTGCAAAACTTTGAATTTTACTAAACCTGTCATGTTGCTTATTTCTCCCTCTGCACATCTGATACAGTCATAGCAGCAGACAGGTTTTCCTTTCTGGAGAACTTTGCGAGTTCCTGGGGGACATTTCTCACTGCAAACTGACACAGGCACCTGCATGAAATAAATAACTATGAGAAAAATATATGGGCACTCACTCATATCTTGTTTTTGCAAATCTTAAAATTGTGATGCGTTATGATAATGTAACAAAAATACATTTAGAATGAATAGATTGTAATTAATAGCTACAGAAATCACATGGTAATTTACCCATTTTGAGTTCTGTGCCCAAATCAAAGACTCAAGTTGCAGACTCAGCTGTTTGTCTGCAGGTAAAGATGCATCATAAAGACCAACTGAGACAAAGTCCAAAATGCCATTTTCTGTTGGCTGCCAGTTTATAATTTCATACTTTGC